GCTAGGGGAGGTTACTGAACAGAATAATCAAACGGAGATTGGTAATGAACGATAAAACTTAGGACAAGAACAACACATATAAGATTCGCCAGCGGCGCGTACTAAAACTCAACTGTTAGAAGTGAGTCAAGTGAATTCCACAATGAATTTCCAACTGCAGGATATCTACCAACCGCTCCACGCTGTCAGCTGTAGCACAAAGCCGAATTTATTTTGGGATATCCAAGCCCGTAGGCTCGGCCCCAAATTCCTCGTAACCCCCTATAAAACGGGATCGGGTAACTGTTTCCGAGACGAGACTCTGCCCTTCGACAAAGCCTCGCCTGGTGATCCTTTCTTCTCGTGGCAGAGAGTTTGACTGGCACAGCTGGAGATGAATCTCCGACTGCAGACCAACATACAGAATTTACTACTGTAATTATACGAATGGGGCCATATATATGCTACAACAATCTCTGAGTTGAGGTATTATGATTAATAATATTATTCGCATTATTCGGACTGTTATCCTCATCTTCATTGCCATATTCACAATGTTTCGACCGTTGTATACCCCGGCCTTCTTCAGGTGAATGGAATTTCGAACCGAAAACTTTATTTCGTCCTCCGGAGTAGATTGTTTTAGTTCCACGTGCCATACCTCCTCCGGATGTCTCAGTTATTTCCCTTTAACTCACCTCTCCAAGTTTTGGTTCATAACTGATGTTCTGGTTCACCACACATGGCCCAGTTGATAAAGACTTTGGTTAGATCCAGTGACTAGACCCAAAGAATTGTGAGTTCAATACCAGGCCACAGATGTGCTCCATAGCAAATACGCAGATCGGCATTCTATGTGTAAAAAGTTCGTAACATTATCATAAATTGTTATTAGGTGAAGCAATATCAATCATGATCAATATTTAATTCCTATGTCTGTCATCTCAATTTCAATTGCTTTTTATTGAACTACACAGATCGTCACTCTACGATAATTTGTAAACAAGTAGTTGAATTATGAGATGAAGCATTGTCAACTATTATTACATACTGATTTTCACATCTTTCATTTTAATTTCAACTGATTTTCATCGCAGATAGTCACTCTACGACCATTAGTAAACAACGCGAAATATTATCGGTAACTTTATTAGATGAAGCATTGTCAACCATTATTCATTTATTACTCGTATTTCTTTCATCATAATTTAATTTTCTTCCATATCTTTATTCTCATAGTCAATATCATCATCAGTCCCATGACTGAGTGTGTTCGTTGGGTTGCTATGAAGCTGAGCACCTGACCAGCTCCCTCCATATGTCTTGGTTGCGCGACATTTTCTACATTTTGTGAACGTTTGTCCAGTCAAATCAGTGGTCAGCCGATTTTTCCTCTGTATGCTACTAAGATGGAAACTAGTAGGATGTCAATGAAAATGATTGTTGGCTCTTAAGACGTGTCTTGTACTGCTTCACATGGGACGCAGTCTCCATGGGAAAGGCCTAGGTTGGTTCTGTGGCGTCTCCTTTCTAATTCTAGGATTCTTCGTTGTAATTCTACCGTAATTCTGCTGTCAATGTCCGAGATTTGAAGATGTACAAAAAGGTTGAGGATTTCTTTCTAATCAGATCATTGAAAATATATTGTCTTAATTGAAAATACATCCTTCACTGTATTTTGTAAACTAGTCAAGATGCAGTTTATTGGGCCAAGAGATAATAAATTTCACGTCCAGGCCGAAGAATATGCCTTGACTGTTAAAAAAACACCCGACAGGTACAGGTATCATCACCATCCTCATCCTCATCATCGCTTGACTGTGTGTAGACGTACGGTCACTGAGTATTTGACCAGCCTTCTCCTTTCATGTTGGTTGGTTGGTTGATTTTGTTAAGAGGCTTATAAACTTTTATGGGTAATTTAATGCCGAAATCTATATATTTGAACGCAACTACATGCTTTCAACTAAAGATAAAATTTATTGTTGGTCATTTTGCTATAGAATGTATTATGGGTAATTCTACTATAAAAATGTATTGCTGGTCAATTTCCTATAAAAATGTATTGCTCTTAATCTTACAATAAACATATATTTTTACACTTTCAAGTGTTTTGTTCCAGTTTGGTGGGGTTCACTATTTATCCATAGCTGGGACCCTAACAGGTGCTACCACTTCGAATCATGGGAACAAACAGTAATTATGAGGTGGTTGCCCGCTCCACAAAACCGTCAACGTCCGATCAAAAGCCTTGATGCCGGATGTAGTTTATCGTCATACCCAGGACTATTCAATATAAATAAAAAGGTGTGCAAAGTAACATATATTATGAACTAGTTAAATGGAGTTTACTTTGCTCTGCCATATTAAATTCCATGCCCTGGCCGAAGAATATACCTTGATTGTTACAAAACACCAGTCCAGCTACAATCATCAGCATCATCATCATTATCATCCTTATCCTCCTCCTCATCATCATCGCCTGACTATGTATAGTCGTAGGGTCTCTGAGTATATTTGACCAGCCACCTCCTTATGTCATGGTTGCATGACAATCTCTGCGAATTATCGTCAAGTCAACACAGCGACGTTGTCAACCTATTTTTTTCAATGTCTGCCTTTCTTTTTTTGCTTATGGTCGAACCTTGTAAGATGGCAATGGAAAAGGTGTTGGCCCCTATGATTTGTCTACAGCTTTTGAAATTCAGAAATTCTTTGATTTTTCTTTGATGTAATTCAGTCCAAGATTTTCAGACCTATATCCATTATATCCTGCCTTAGTAACACAGCTACTTTATTGCTTAACCCAAGAACAATAACAATCAATTAAAGTTACACAATGGGTATATCATACTCGATTTTAAAAATACCAAAAACAAAAAATATTAAATATAAATCTTTATTTGAAATATTTTATATGCAGGAACTTCAAACTTTGTACTTTGAGTTAACATTAATAGGAACTTAAAAACTTATTATTTAGGTAAGTAAATCAGGTACTGAAAATTGTAATTAAAAATAGGAAAAATTGCGCTGAGTACTATATACCCATGGTTAGTGTTCTAGGGTTAAGAGACAAAAAAAAAAAAAAAAGAAATTGGTAAAGATCAAATCTAACTATTAAAACATAAAAAATGTGGAACTAGAACAGTTTACCCCAGTGAGCGAAATAAAGGGTTCAGTTCGACATTCCAGCCATCTGAAGAAGGCCGGAACGTACAACGGCCGAAACGTTGTAATAAATATGGCGACAAAGATGAGGACAATAGTCCGAATAATGTAAATAATGAATAACCCACTAAGACGAACATGAAAGAAATCGTGGTTAAACGTACAGCTTTCTTTTATCTAATAAAATTCAACATAAAATGAAGATGATCATAGAATATTAACAGAAACACTTCTTAGTTCTGCCAATTGATGGTTCCAATTTGGTTGAAGAATTTACTCAGACTTCTTGAAGATCTTCGCAAAGTCTCCTCTGTATATCTCTATAACAGAAACTAGTGGAGGATATCAGTGAAAAGATTGTTGGCTAAGGCGTGTCTTATACTGCATCGCATGGAAAGACCTTGGATGGTTTTATAGAAACTCATTTCTAATTCTTGGATTCTTGTTGGCCCTTATGATTTGTCAACAGCATTTCAAATCCAAAAATTCTTTAATTTTTGTTTGATATAATTCAGCTGCTAATGTCTAAGATTTTCAGACGTATATCCATCATATCCTGCCTTAGTAACGCAGCTGCTTTTTTTTGCTTAAGAAACGAAAAAGAAAAGCAAATTGGTGAAGATGAAATCTAACCATATTGATTTATTAATGAATATCAGCTAAGACGAACATATAAGACATTCTGGTGAAACGTAGAGTGAGAGACAGAGAGGTAGGGAGATTGTGTGAACATAGGAATCAACACTGCATGGTAACTGTCAGTTTCACACTTCAAGTGGTCTTCTGACAAAGGCATTATTCTGATAATCACATGCAGTGATGATTTCTATGACAATATTATCTGAATCTACAGGTGTATTTCTTTTATATTGAATCCTCTTCACATATAAATACTACACACACACGCACACACACACACACACATATATATATATATATATATATATATATATATATATATATATATATATATATATATATATATCCTTATCCTCGTCATCCTCATCGCTTGACTATGTGTAGTCGTAGGGTCACTGAGTATATTTGACCAGCCCCCTCCTTATGTCATGGTTGCATGCCAATCTCTGCGAATTATCGTCAAGTCAACACAGCGACGCTGTCAACCTATTTTTTTCAATGTCTGCCTTTCTTTTTTTGCTTATGGTCGAACCTTGTAAGATGGCAATAAAAAAAATTGTTGGCCCCTAAGATTTGTCTACAGCATTTCAAATTCAGAAATTCTTTGATTTTTCTTTGATGTAATTCAGCTGCCAATGTCCAAGATTTTCAGACGTATATCCATCATATCCTGCCTTAGTAACACAACTGATTTCTTTTTGCTTAAGAAACGAAAAAGAAAAAAACAAATTGGTGAAGATCAAATCTAACCATATTGATTTATTAATGAAAGAAATCCTGGTTAAATCGTCCAGCTCTCTTTCATCTAAGAAAATTCAAGATAAAATGAAGATTCTCACAGAATATTTATAGAAACTCTTGTTAGTGCTCCCCATTAATGGTTCCAATTTGGTTGAAGAATTTACCCAGACTTCTTGAAAATCTTTGCAATGTCTTACATTTCTTTAGTTGGTATTTAATTAACCACTACGCGGATTTTTAAAATAAATGAAATGGAATCGACAATGATTTTTAATATTCAAGCAGAAAGAACGAAGGTGAGTAAAATAAGAAATGAAAATCAATGAGAGATTTTGAAAATGATGAAAAAGTTTCGAAAAAGATTTTGAGAAAAATAAAATTAAGAAAACGAAAGCGTAGGTTAAGACGACGGGAAAATGACAACGGGTATAATGTAAAGAAGAATAGGAAGTGAGAAAAGATATGGAAAATTATAAAAAAGGAAAGGGTAAGGAAAGTTCTAAAAGATTGCGTAGAAAGGCAAAAGAAGATAAAGAATGAAGAATATAGAAAGTAAAAGAAAGAAAAGCCAAGCAATTGAATAGAAATGAAGGTGAAAAGTTAAAAATGGGATCAGTTAAAAGAAGCAGAAGAAAGAAAAGAAAAACAGGAAACTGTCGGAAAGAAAAAAGTAAAAAACACAAAAAGAAAGAAAGAATAAGTACCAAGGTAAAAAAAGAGATATTAAAAATAATGACAAAGAACGAACGATAGAACGTGCGAACGATGGAAAGGACAAAAAAGATGAAATGAAAAAAATGAAAAAATAATGAAAGAAAAAATAATGAAAAAAAAATTAAGAAAAAAATGAAATGAAAAAGATGAAATGATGAAAAAGTTCTAAAAACTAAATAGAGAATATGAAAGGAATAAAAAGAAAATACAAGATATATTCATCGAACGAAAAACAAGAAAGAAAAAAGAAAAAAGAAAGCAAAGGATATTTCAATGAAAATACAGGAGAGATCCAGTGAAAATTAAGAAGAAAGAAAGAAAGAAGGAAAGAAAGAAAACATAACATGAAAGAAAGAAAGAAAGAAAGAAAGAAAGAAAACATAAAAAGAAAGAAAGAAAACATAACAAGAAAGAAAGAAAGAAAACATAAAAAGAAAGAAAGAAAACATAACAAGAAAGAAAGAAAACATAAAAAGAAAGAAAGAAAACATAACAAGAAAGAAAGAAAGAAAACATAAAAAGAAAGAAAGAAAACATAAAAAGAAAGAAAGAAAACATAACAAGAAAGAAAGAAAGAAAACATAAAAAGAAAGAAAGAAAACATAAAAAGAAAGAAAGAAAACATAAAAAGAAAGAAAGAAAAAAGAATCTTCAAAAGAAATAAAGAGATATGAACAGAGAGAAAGAAAGAAAAAAGAAAAATTACATTAACAAAAAAAAGAAAAGAAAGCAAAAATAGACTAAATGTGAACCAAAAAGAAAGGAAGCGAAGACAATGTCTTTACTTCCCCGTAAAGAGAAAATGAAGCGAAAACCATTTCTCCTTTAGCCAAACGCAAATACATCAAATAAAAGAATCAGATTGAGGCTAAATTTAAAATTTCACTTCCGCCGACGTAAACAAGGGTTATTATTACGTCTTTTTTTTTTTTTTTTTTTTTTTTACTGAGTCTTGGATTAGCCAAAGCAGTATTTCTTTTTTTTTTTCTCATTGTTTATTTTGCAAAAGATTAGCTGCAAAGAAAGGCTGAAAAAAATTGATCGGCAGATAGAAAGCGAAATGCTTACGTAACTACGTAAACACGTCTATGTAATTAGTAATCATTTAAATGAGAATCAAGAGGAATTGCCATGTTCTTATCGAGATCGTTCTAATCTGCATATTCACACACTGGTATGTAAATGCATTATGACAGATATACATACACAGAAAGGAAAACCTGCTGGAAAGTTCTCGGCTCGACCCGATATATATATATATATATATATATATATATATATATATATATATATGTGTGTGTGTGTGTGTGTGTGTGTGTGTGTGTGTGTGTGTGTGTGTGTGTTGGTATACTCGATGTTGGCATGCAGATAGATATGAACAGACTGAGATAGATAGATAGATAGATAGATAGATAGATAGATAGATAGATAGATAGATAGATGTACCTCCACAGAGGCACGACACCTAAGGTTTAAAATGAATTTTTAAAAATGAAAAATCTTTCTTGAAGCTTTTAATTTAGTTTTCATTTCCAATAATTCGCAGCAAAATGGCTCCAAACTCTTACGTTATTATTAAGAGGAAAGACCAAAATATTTTTTGATTATATTATTAAAGTTTATAACCCTTTCAACAAATTTCAAATTTCGGTTAAAAATCTTCTTTTTCTTGCGTCATCGGGGGCAACAAAGATTAGTATAGCATATTTTAGCATCTTTTTTTGCGGTAAAAAAATAAATTGAGTTTGAAATTATTACAAAAGTCATAAAATTGTCGGATTTTAATGAAACTTTCAGGACATATTCTCGAATGAATTAAATTATTTTAGAACGTTTTTTTTTTTTTTACAAAGTCTTGGTAGAAATATAAAATTTTAAAATCTGTTACTCCCTGTTACTTAATTAATGACACTTTCAGAAATTTTAATTTAGTTCCTCTTACTATTTGTATCGGGTTCAGATCAAGACATCTTGGAGAATGTAAATAATCAATTTAGTTTTACAAACACTAACTCATTTGCCAAAAATCTGCTCTCAATCATAAAATAAAAATACAATAAAACTAAAACATTACTTAATTAGAAAAGTTTTTAATTTCTTTTTGAAATAAGATATATTAACGACAAAAACAAATTTCATAAGAAACTTTTTTCCGATGAATAATGAAACTTTTTCCCGATGAATAATGAATTTTTACAAGAATTGTCTCCATTTTTTTACATTTTAATTAGAATAACTTACTAAATTTAAAATACTTTTAATCTTTTAAAATGCTGTATTAATTAAACTCTTTTTGATGATATTGTTATTAATTGAAAACTATATTTTCTAATCATAAATGGAAAAAAAACTTATTACAAATCATCAAACACCAATATTTTTTAAAGTATTCTTATGTGCATAAATGTGTCTATTTTCTGTATACGGTCGATCATACTCGATATTATCAGAAAATAAGAGGGATGACTGTATTAAATTTACAACCAAAAATATTAAAAATTCAATAAAAATATAGATTAATTAGTAATTAAAAATAATATATAGAAAGCGCTCTCGTTAATTCAACTACTTTTTTCACGCCAAACGCCCCCATGTAATATCATAATTTAAATATAAAGATGTCAAGATATCCACAGCTTAAATAAACAGTTACCGACGTGTTAAAAAATTAACTTTCTGCGATATTTAAACAAAATATATAAGATTTGTTTGAAATCAGATTAATTTGGTTATCTAAAAAAAAAGAAACATATCTAAAGTTTAAAATGACATTTTTAAAATTAAAATGATAGATAGATAGATACGAACAGACTGAGATAGATAGATAGATAGATAGATAGATAGATAGATATGAACGGAGATACCTTAGGTTTAAAATGAATTTTTCAAAAATGAAAAAAAGATAGATAGATAGATAGATAGATAGATAGATAGATAGATAGATAGATAGATTTAGGGACAAGATAGATAAATACATAGTTAATGATATTTTTATTTTTATTTACATCAATATGGATTGCGTCTGGTATTTTTCTAAAATTCTCTAAATGGGAAGACTCATTCTGAGATACAAAGATCAACTCACAGATAATCTAATACCATTTGGAATGCTGCCAAAAGCTTTGGATGAGAACAACAGGAAAAAAGTTTTAACAAAAATCATTATTTCTTTGTTATTTCTGTAGAAACTCACACTATCGAATAATTAAAAGCAATAGCGGTACAAAATTAAAACAAATTCGATAAAAAGCTGAATTTTATAAGCTAATTTAAACATCGAAGTACATCGAATTCAAAATTGAAATTTAAAGTTTAGTATCTTGGTCAAGTTAAAGTTTAAATGTGTATTATAAGTGGATTTTATAGCATTTTCCCTCCCTCTACAATGTTTATATCTGATTGGTTCTATCAATAAATTACTCTGAAGAAATTCATTCTTGGAACAATATATATATATATATATATATATATATATATATATATATATATATATATATATATATATATATAATGGAAAAGAGGCTATGTCCACTATTATAAATGGCCTGACTTCATATCTTCCTCGACAGATAAGGCTAAGCTCTTCACCTCGATATTTGCCTCAAATTCAACATTAAGTGACAAAGGCCATCACCTTCCCAACTTCCCGACATCACTCCGACGAACAATTTCAATAATATTTTCATTACAACCCGAGAAGACATATCAAATGTCTTAACCCTAAGAAAGACAGTGGCCCAGACAAAATCCCAGTGATTGTCCTTAAGAATATCAGCTGGGAACGATTCCCGAATCCTGCTTGAAGAGAAAGCCTGTGGAACGTTTCAAGCTTATGTCCGGTTTTCCAGATTTCGGGCGATCGCTCATGCTCCTCGCAGTCTAGAGCCATCAGTACCCATAGTATCTTTAACAGGATTTTTTAGGCTATATTCAACAAGAAGGTTGTTGAACACCGTCTTGGTCTCGTTAATGACTCGTTACATTCAATACCAGCTGATTGGTGCTCGAACTACCACCAATCATAATGAATGGAGATTCCCCTCGCGAAACTCCCCTGCGCTGAGCGACTATATGACCTTAAACTCAATCCACACCAGAAATGGACTTCGTAAATAGAATCCGTCGTTAAAGATGCAGAAAAATGGCAGCTTCTCTTTACCGTTACAGTACTTGACTTCTCGTACATTATTTACTTGAGGAGGCACGGTGGAGTAATGGATAGCGGTTTGGATTGAGGAGTTCGAATTCCAGTCGAATCCATTACGTTCACTTACGTTCTAATACCCTGGGGAAAGGTGTGAATTCTCTTCTTCTCCCTCCAGCTATGGGTAAATAGCAGGACAGACTGGGTTCTATAGCCTTTGATGTTAACTGGTTTAGGAGAAGGACAACTCTGAATTCAAACCCGGAGTGGAGCCCCCAAGGCGGACGGACGACACTTTGTTCTATCTTCCGGCAACTCCTGCAGCCGCGCTGGTACCAAACTCTATTGGTTATCCTCTACTTTGGACTCTGCTAGCAAGGCCGAGAGGGGGGGAACTAAGCCCCCGGGAAGCCCTAGTTCTCCATATATCCCGCCAAGCACCGCGCTACTACATCGTCTCTCGAGACGGACGGATGCTGACGACAACGGTTTACATTATTCAGACTATTGTCTTCCTCTTTGTCGCCATATTTATTACAACGTTTTAGCCTTCTTCAGGTGGTTGGAATGTCGAACCGAACCCTTTATTTCGCTCACTGGGGTAGACTGTTCTAGTTCCACGTGCCATGTCTAATGGATGTCAATTATCAGTTATCTCATATAATTCCCATCTCTAAGTCCTCCACTGCCTTAACCAGGTATTGAACTCACACTCTTTGGGTCCTGTCACCGGATCTAATTAACGCCTTTATCCACTGCGTCATGTGTCCGAATAATGTAAAAAGTATTATTAGTTCTATTATCACTATTATCTTTTTTTTCTGTTTTTAACTTTCAAACATTTTTCATCGGTGTATTATGTCTACATATCAGAAGTAAAGGTAGACAATCTTTCTTTAGTACTATATTTATTTTATAATAAGGCTCCATGACTACTATAAGTTATTGACCGAGAAAATAAATTGTTGTGGTTCAGGTTACATCTCTAGTTACCCAGTTAACTAGAAATGTAACGTGATGAACCAGGGAAAATATATTTTCTAGGTAAAGAAGTTATCGTCATTAAGAAAGAGAACACCTTAGGTTTTCTCTTTCTTAATTATTTAATTAATATTTGCTCTAGTTTTACATTAAGCTCTCTGGATTATATCGTCTTTGGAATTATCCACACGGATTACCAAAGCCTTCATTACCTTACCATATATATATATATATATATATATATATATATATATATATATATATATATATATTACAGAGAAGAAGAATTCAAAATTACCCCATTCGAATAGCTATTTCGACCCACAGCGACTTGCTTATGGGTCTTGTCACCTCAGATGAGTGATGAAATAAAATAAAATGAGAACTTAAAAATTTAAACATTTAAAGAAGAAGAAGAAAGGGAGAAGGATGAGGAAGTTGCAGATAGTGTCTAGACGTAATTTGACGACCAATCTCATGGCAGTAGAAATTGGAGTGTCTAATCAAGAAAACCGTCAAAATAACCTTGACCTATATTTTAAAATATTAACATCCAGTTTATATATGGAAAATTACTTTGAAAGAATTTTAAAATCTTGAGATTTGTAAAAAAAGACTTTTTAAGAAAGAGTAAATAAAAAAAGTGACTTCTAAAATTAAAAATTAAAATTAGAACAATATGTAATATATAAATGATAATACATATAATAAATAAAATAATTATTAAATAAAATTATTGAATAAAATAAAATTAAATTAAAAATAATATATATATATATATATATATATATATATATATATATATATATATATATATATATATATATTACTTGCATTCTTTACATTATTCGGTCTGTTATCTTCATCTTCATTGCCATATTCACAACGTTTCGGCCATTGTACTCCCCCAGCCTTTTTCAGGTGATTGGAATTTCAAGTCGAACCCTTTATTTCGTCCACCGGAGTAGATTGTTCGAAGAAGGCCGGGACGTACAAACTCCGAAACGTTGTGGATATGACAGTCAGAATAATGTAAATAATACCTCATCTCGTATATATATATATATATATATATATATATATATATATATATATATATATATATAGTATAATAAAAGAGAACAGTAAGATATATAATACGTTGTTCTTATTGATTTTTTTATTTTTACAAAACAGTGCTCAATGTAAATTTACAGAGCTTAAATATTATAAATTAACTGGTTTAAAAATGGTTACTTCGCTACACAGGAATTACCATGTTTCAAAAACCGAAGCTAAAAATTTTAAATTTAATTATATAATTAAATTAAAAAATATTAGTTCTGTTTCATCTTTAAGCGAATTTTGGAATAACTTATTTTTAAATTTACTGAGATTTGAACGAACATACAATTCATAATGTTTTGTTTCCAAGGTTACAGAGAAATCCAATCATTCAGACTGGGGCGGTAGCGTGTTCGTTTTTATTAACTATTGCTGTATCAATTATGAGTTACGTTTGAAAAAGAGGTTCAGTTTAGGGAGGGTAGGGGTGTATTTTTCAACGAATTCTGACATCCGTTAAATGAATATCATCTTTTTTTTTGGGGGGGGGCGTTTAATCAACGAGAAAAAAGTTTTTTCGGCATTTTTTCCGTTAAATGCCTACTGTTATAGATACAAATTCTTTCTAAACTACAATTTTAAATTATTATTTTTACTTTTAATTACTAATAGAATATAATTCTTTTAATTTAATTATATAATTCAATTTGAAGATTTAGCTTCGGTTTTTGAAACATGGTCATTCCTGTGTAACGGAGAAACCATATTTTAAATCAGTTAATTAACACCACATATATATATATATATATATATATATATATAGAGAGAGAGAGAGAGAGAGAGAGAGAGAGGGCGTTGGGGTGTTTGTGTGTGCGTGCGCTTATATGTGTGTGTGTACCCTAAGTAGTCAGCACGATTCTATCTGCTTTTTCTGTTTGTCTCTTCCCAACCATTCTGTCCATTCCATCAATGATGTGAATGAAGGAAACATCAAATCGACCAAGCGATTCTTTTTCCATTTTTTTTTCAGTGAATTTCGTCTATTGTAAGATTTTGTATTGATTCTTTGTCCCCTCCCCCAGCACCTTTAATCTCCTCCTACCTTTTTCTTTCTAAAACCATATCTTCTAGTTCTTTTCTTACTCTCTCTCTCTCTCTCTCCCCTCCCCCCCTCTCTCTAATGTCTTCTTTCCGTGATTAGCCTTTCTCTCCACTCGACTTTCAATGCCTCCATCATTTGCGACATTCTATTCTTGATTTTAGCATTCCCCTTTTGTTTTGTATTAAGCGCCCTCTTTTGTCGTTCTCTTCAGCTTCGGAGTTGCTTCCCTTTTAAAGGTGACCTAGTGCCGATCGACGCAAAGGCCCCATCCCTGCCATTTCTTTGTCCGTCTTCCTCAAATACTGACTCTGTAATTGGCAGCTGCCCGATTCGAACTGACAGCACAGCTTAACTTCTACGCCTTACACAACGTTTACCGAGTGGACATGATAGCACTTTGGAGCGTGAGGGGCCGTGGCACATAATGGCGGTATCGCAAAAAAACAGACTGGGAATGAAGAACGAAAAAAGAATAAGTGAATGAGACTGAAGTAGGAATGAGGACGGTAGAGAGACTGGGAAATGCAGAAAAGAATATTTAATGACAGGAAAATGGTTAGAGAGAAGATTTTTCCATGAAAATGGAGATAGAGAAATAGTTTTAAACAGACTGCAATAGATAGATATATAGATATTCAGAGACTAAAATAGATATATATTAAGATAGATAGATAGATAGATAGATAGATAGATAGATAGATAGATA